TGATTTCTCTCTAATGCCATTTACGTTTTCTAGAATTATGCTAAGTGAAGAACAAAGTACACTGTGTTAGTCTCATTTATTACAACCATGTCCATAATTTACAAGCTGATTATGCAAGCCTCATACAAGGGGAATCAGAGAATAGTCAACCACTGTCAAAGAACGGTGGGACAGCATACATTTTAGCAACTACATTTTCTTACATAGCTACATAAAAAGGGGCACCAAGGTCTACAAATTCATTTTAATTGAAATTAATATTGAAAAGAACTGTTTCAAGATAATTGTATTAAAGGCATTAGGGAGCAACCAGGTGTTCTAAATAAGTAACAGTTGAATTTGACACAACAAAATGTAATGACAAAAGAAAGATCAGCATGGAGGCAAAGTGCTTATATTACAATATTGTTTTTAATAAAATCTAAGTAATAAGATTTATAGAGAGAAAAATATCAACTCACTGATATTATAATATTCGTTTTGATGAGACATCCTTTGTTGTTGCTCTTAATTAAAAATGTACACATTTAAAAGCTAACCATTTGACAGCTGTTTTCACTCAGGAGGAAAAAAGTAAAAAATATTTTGTTGGGTGGATTTTTGGAAATATTAAAATTTCAGAATTGACTTTGTTTCTAGATACATAGAATAATAGAGTTGATGCCTTTGAACAACTCTATTACCAAAACACCAATTATTTCTACATAAATACATTTCAGTCTGTTTCTCTAAGATACTTTATTACACCAAAATCACTTCAGAAAAACAAAGCTTTCCTGTTGATGACACAGGTATACTGCACTATACAAAGACAGCTATCACTAGAAAGAATTTTGATCTCATAAAAATGACACACTTGGCGTAAGTTACCCAAAGGTTTTCAATTTTAAAATCGCAAAATTCCTTTAGGTTAAAAATAAATGCTTTTTAAAAAAATCCAACAAATATATATTGAATTCCCAATATGCACCAGGGAATATTTCAAAGTAATACCCTAATTAATGCAGTACCTGATGTCATATGACTACATCAAATCTGCAACATTAGACCCTCAATACAACCTCCCCCACTCCCACTCCCAAGTCAAACACACACCTACAGGCTTTTAGATGTTTTAAGATAAGGCACCAGAGAGCTCTGACCAGTAATTCATGTCATTTCCATGACTACGCCTGCAGCTGAGATCAACTGGAATAGGATTAAAACAAACAAACATGGTCCCTGCCTTTATTCAGTCCCTTTAGCTTTCAAGTCCTTGACCTGCATTCCTTCCTCTAAATAACAAAAATGATATGCCCAGAAATATAATTCACCTTAAGTATTCTTCGTAATAAGCATCATGAGATATATCTACTTTATATTTGTGATTATTTACACTCAAAACAAAAACATCAGCTTTCAACCAAGTTTAAAGTTCAGATTTTTAAAAAATTAAAGTTATTTCTCATTCACTGAAAAATTTCTAAAACTAGACTTAGATGTTTGCTAGAATGGAAATTACTTGAAATACACATAGAAACCAATTACACGTATACATAATATATAAGTAATAATTTCATATTTTGCTGTCTTTTGAAAAAGTTTTGCAGAAATGAGGAATTTTTAACTCCCTAATGAGAAAATATGGAACTTTTTCATTAACATTACTTAAGTGAATCAAACATGTTTCTAAGATCTGTAGCATAAAATATTCCAAGGAGACTAAATTTTACTATTTATCTAAGTTTCTTAGTTCTAGAAGGTAATTTAATTACATTCTTCATAGAAATTAGAATAAAAAATAGCATGTTCAATCCAGTGATCTTAAAAGGAGGTATAGTGAAAAATATTTTAAAAAAGGCATTTAACCATTTTTATTATCATAGTTCTGCAATTTGCAATGCAATTCAAGAAAACAACACATAGTATGTTTTCAAATTTATGTGTAAGAGTTCAAAAGTATAAAATAGAGAATAATTTCTTAAAATACTGTATTTGTATAAATTCAGATATGTGTAGCTAATAATATATTTTACATAAGTATTTCCCTTAATAGTTCACTTCAAAATGAATAAATATATTCATTTCAAAATGAATATATAGTCATTCAAAATGACTAAATATAGCAAATATTCTCTTAGAAGTAGCTGAGGGAGCTGAAATATCTACAAAGAAACATAACTGCACCCATACTGATTTTCTCTTCCCTTTTGCTTTATATCTGTAATAGATGATAAAATACAAAATAAAATTACTCTATTCTTCATCTGGTCTTGATCATATCCAAAGTCATTTATCCAAACCTAAGCCTTCTCTAGAAAATCAGTGGCCAAATCCTAAAGGTATCCCTTTACCTCACTGCAGAATTTCCCCAGGCTCCATGCTTGTCTGTGAGAATGTTGATAATTTTCTGGATTAGTTGAGTTGCTGTCACATGGTCTCGATATTTAGCTGCTCTTATTAAATGGTCACACATCTTCTCATCTTCTCGTTTGTCTGCAGAATACTGGGCACACAGTGACTTGGATAGGAAAAAGAAACATCTATTAATACTACAAAAAGATATTTAAAAAAAGCTTTAAAATGCACCATGAAATAATCTCTAACATGAATCAGATCAACCAAAAATTTAGTTACTTTATACCCTCAGTAACTGAATTGACTGAGATTTAGTGATTTACTGCCTCAGTACAACAGTCCCCCAAGAATTTCTTTCTCTCAAATCATTCATAAGATATACCCATAAGTGGTTAATATTTAAGCAGAGACCTGAAAAATGAGAAGAAGCCAGTCATGTGAAGATGCAGGGGCCCACATTACAAGCAGCATGAAGAGTGTTTGCCAAGCACTCCTGGCAAAGTGAGTAAAGGAAAGAATGGTATGAAATGAGTTTGGAGAGGCAGGCAGGGGCTGCATTATCTAGAACTGTACAGTTATGGTAAGAAGTTTAGATTTTATTCTAATGTAACAGGAAACCAGTGGAAAAGCAGGGGAGTGATGTGGTTGATTTACATATTAACATGATCACTGTAGCTCCATTTAGGGAATGGAGTGTGGTGGGACAAGAGAAGTTAAGGAGGGAGACCAGTTATGAGGCTACTGCATACAAGAGATAATGGCGGCTTACAATGATACACTGAGCAGTTCTCAACATCTTCAGAAAATGTATAAATTTGTCTTTTAAACCCTATTAGGCAAAATGTACCAGCAGCACTGGAATCACCTAGGAACTTACTGAATATACACAATTATAGGTCCCATTCCACACCTACTAAATCAGAATCTGGGTTTAAATAAAACTCACAGGGGATTTATCCATTAACATTTGGAAAGTACTTCTTAGATACTGATTTTATCAAAAAATTTTAAGATATTTTAGCAATAATCAGGAATGACAAAGTCACTAGTTTCCAAGATGCTTATATATCTTTCCTTCTGGAATTCAGGTACTTTGGTGTCATGTTTATGATGCTAGTAATTTAATTGCTTAAAATAAGAAAACAAAGATTAATGTAAATTTGATCCTTAATTCTATTCACAGAGTCTACTAGCTTCTCCCCTACCTCCAAATGCAAGTTCATATATTTATATGTATACACAAGCTATGATAAGTAACAAATGTTTAATGTTGAAACAAATACTATTAATGTATGTGATACATTTGATTGCCTGCCTTACCTACCGTACACCAGTTTAGACAGATTGTTGCCACACCCTGCCCTCAGCAATGCCCCAGCAACAGGAAAGAGCCCTGACTGTCCTAAACCAATGAGGGTACTAATCACACCCATACTGACAAACTGGCTCAGGAAAAGGCACCTGATCTAATTGGTTCGTTAAGAGGAAAGGTCAGGATTTTTGTTAAATATTTCCTTACTTCCTCTTCAGAGTGTAAAAGAGGAAGTACATAATTCCAGGAGTGCTGCAAGCTCTCTCTGTACCACAAAGGAAGCGAGCCTGAAGATGAAGCCAAAAACCAAAGGCAGCAAAGCTATGAGACTTACAGAAATACAGTTTATTCCAAATGGGATCATGAGCTTCTGAATCAAAAACCATCCTACCTTTAGACTGTGAGACTTCTATTTTAGACTTTTTATGAGAACCGCTAGGTTCCTGTTCATTCATTGTATGCTAGTATGAATTGGATTTTCTAACACCAAAAGCAACCCAACCTATATGACGTTTAGGTACATACGTAAGTAAACTAGTGTCTTTTACCCTGTACAGAACCTAGGCTATAGGGATCAAAGTTGAGTAACCTTGATAGCCGTTGCCATGAAGAATCCCCATTCCCTTTAGTTTGGGAAGAGGGAAGTAATAATAGAAGTGTATCACTGACATTAAATCACTGAAGCTAAAAATGTTTTTTAATGAAAATGTTTCCAGAAAGTAATAAGGAATATACAAAATGCTATGCAGTAAAACAGAAAATGGATGACTGTAAGAAGGTAAATTATTCTTGAATGGGAATAAAGAGAATCTTAAAGAAAAGGAAAAGCAGAAAAACACAGGTCAGTTTCAGGGAGGGGAGAAGCAATAAAATTTGACCCAGTACCAAATACAGATAGAAAAAGCAACAGAGTGAAGAAATTCTGAAATGCAGAATATGGATTGAAAAAAAACATTAAGAATCATAGTGTATATGTAAATATGTATTAGATATGTATATAAACAAACATAAGATTGGGTAACAAAACAAAAACCAGATTAAAGTATCATCCTTCCTAGTATCTCCTGTCAGTCTTAGGCAACTAACTCACTGTATCTCCTTACGTCTAATTCTCCTCATCTGCAAAAGAAAGGATTATATTAGCTTTAAGAATTGGACAATTAGAAGATTTTAGACAACTTCCAAGAGATTAGTTTTGTGCCATGATAAAGGCTAACTACTTTTTTTATCTAAACACTGATGTAGAGAAAATAAATCATGTTAAGAACCACATTATAAGAAATTCAAAGCAAATGGCAAGTTGTATATATTTTTAAAAGAAGACTAAATCAAACAACACAGGATAGTACAGTTTGTCAAAAACACGATTTGAGCAAATAAGAAAAATAAGAATAAATGTTTTAAGAGACAGTAATTTAAGTGAAGATAACTAGGGAATTATTTCACTATAACACACCTATTAACGGCTATGTGAAATTTTCAGATTCACACAAGAATTAGGTAGCAGTCTATAGGTTACTTCATATCTAATCTAACCATACACTGAAAACAAAATGACAAATTATTAGACATTTGCAGAATTTGAATACCCTCAACATTCCCTTCTATATCAATCTGCCCCCACCTAACCTCACCTGGTAAGAGGAAATTAAAATCAATCATGAAAATTAAGAAAATCATTGGCTTCTACACTCTCTCAAAATGCCATATACCTTCATATTAAACACTAGTAAAAGTACCAAAAAAGACATTATTGACAAGCCAATTACTTCTTTTATTAATGGTAGAAAGTTTAACTTTCTCATACTGCATTTCATAAACATTTGGTAAGCTACTAAAGTTTGCTTGAAAAGGCGTAATTCTAAAAAGAAGGTCCAAGGTAAGCTAAAGAGTAAAATGGTTTAAAGTATTCTTTAATGGATCCTCCTTTACAATTTAAACAGCAACTTTTCATATCTGACACAAAATCTATAGATATAAATCACATTAAAGGGCTATTCTTTCCCAATTATTAATCTCTGTCTCATTGTGGAACATTAGAGTCACATCTGACCTTAAAACATGATAAAAGGAAATCAAACAAGACTGTTTTGTAAAGATACAATGAACTTGTATCTATTTTTTAAAATATCTTTGAAATGTAATTTGAATGGATTCTTATTAAAAATCAATAATATATTCTATGCATGACATATCCAAAGTCAAGTACAGATGAGGAATATCTGCTTCAAGAACAAACATGTATTACTTATTGGTGGTGTACATACTTGCATATGTGTATGTGCTTGTGTGTAAAGGTTGAATAGAGGTACCCCAAGAAACCCAATCAAAATGTGCCATCTATCAATAAAATCAAGGACCAGGTCTAATACTTTCATTCTATTTTACTTTATGTCAACTTTTCTGTTTTCCTATTGTAAGCAACACATAAACAAGCATCACAACAATGACCACAAAAATATCTGAATCGAAAAAGAAAATCATCTTAGAAACTAACAATTCAAATGTATTTGGTTATTACTAAAGAAATCTAAGATTTATAACCACAGAATTAATAAACTAAGTATAAGATTATTAAACCTACTTTTAAAAGAAATGTATTTACTTGCAAGGAAAAGATAAAGTGATAACAGAAGAGAGAAATGATTTAGACTGGCCATTTGTAATTCAAGGGCCTATTGTAGAGCTCTCTAAATAAATAAAACAATTTCTCACTTAGTCTTTCCTTCCAGATGCTATGTCTCTACCAAACTTCACTATCTGTTCTTTGCATGAAAGCTCAGTGAGGAGTGAACTTAAAATTCCTCTCCTATCCCCCTCTCATCACTCTCATCAGTCTTCTTGGTGGTCAGACATTTTCCTTTATTATTCCCCACCATGAAATGCTGGCATTTTCTAAAGACTTCATTAAAATGTCCCTTGGCAATATCATTCCCACATCACCTACTGTTATCAACTTACATCCATCTTTCAAATTTTTCATATCTGTACCCAGCTGTTTTCCTAAACACACTTTATCTGCAGGGTAATCTCCAATCATCTGATAAGCACCTCAAGTTAAAAATGTACAAAACTGTACCTACCATCTTTATCCCAAACATTAAACACTTAAAAGAGCCAGGCTTTCTCTTTCTGTCATTTGTGACTTCTCAAATTCCCTCACCTCATTTCCAATCATATTTTAGCAAAACTTCTGACTCACTTTTACCACTGCCCTAACATAGACTTTAATTAGTTTACAACTCAGCTCTTCAAATAATCTTCTAATTGTCCTCTTATGAATAGTTCACAATTAAGTCTCATAGAATTTATTTTGTTATCAAACATGCATATTTATACATGGCACCCTCAAATCAGTCAATGATCGTTTCTAAAATATTTAACAATTAGGACCAAATTTTACTAGCTGGACCTTGCGGCATTCTATATATACTTCAGTAATATGGCATACTATCTTTCAACATGCCCTCTTATGCTCCCTATATGACAAATATACTTGATTATATGCTACTCCCCACACTTCCTCAAGACATTTACAAGGGCCAGGAACTATATCTCCTATAGCTTCTGCATGTGAAAGAAGCTTAAAGATGTCTACTGAGGTGGTAAGACAGAAATCTGAAAGACAAACTACTAGAGAATAGAAGTTAGGCAGAGAAAGGGATATAGAAATTAGAAGTCCAGTATTTTTGGATAAATACGTATATATAGTAAAAAAAATCTGAAACGTTCCAAAATAACTGGAAATCAAGCAATTAATCTCCACATAACTTATGGATTAAAGAGGAAATTCACAAAGAAAATCAGAAAAATTTGTGGGAATCAGCTAAATCACAGTTCAAAGGAAAATT